GATGGATGGATGGAGAATTCTTATTGAATTGATGGATTTCACAGACCATCAGTCAGAATAGGGGAATGATTCCTTTTTTAAAGTATGCTGAGTGCCAGATGTTCTTTTTTAATTAAAGAAAGTATCATCAAGCTTCAATTTTGCAAACTTGTACCAAGACTAAATTAGACTGACTGACGGGGACACGGCCTTGTAGCATGACGCACAAAACCCTGCCTGGTATACAGGGAGCCAATCCAAATCATCAAACACAATCACTCCTGAGGCTCACAGTTAGAAGGTGAACCAACCTTCACATGACAGCAGCTGTGCAGACGGCACCTCCGGCAAGGACTGATGGGAGTTTCCTGAGCTCTCAGATTCACAGTCCAACGCAGCTGCCCTGCAGCGGGAAGAAACGAAAGACATATGGGACCCTGGCGTTCCATTACACGGCTGTCTCTTGCAGATATAATTTTTCTTGTGCGTGAGGAGTCTCTGGGTCGTACCCCAGGCTCCTGCTGCCACAGTTCTTGCTTGAAGCCATGTAGCTCGATGCTGCCAAGGTGAAGATGTCTTCCCTGGACCCCGAGGCCCCGTATAGCTGTTGCTCCATCGTATATTGCTGCTTAGAGGTGGAGGGCTGCTCTGATGCGGTGCTGAGAGACACCAGGGGCCCCTGGAGGCTGTCAGCCTTCAGCACTCCTGGAATGAAGACAAAAGCCAAGTCACGTGATGGAAAAGTGGGAATGTGCTAAGAAAAGATAAAACAGGGAGCTGAGCGGGTGTGACCATAAAGTAATATTGTGTATTATTTTTCTAAAAAAAAAGCCCTGCTGGCGAATCCCAGAACCCATCAGTCATTAAACTGAAAATCAAATCTGGAAGCACTGAAGACACTGTCATAATAAGTTTCCTTAGAGCCTGAATAAAAGAAGCACTAGCGTAAGCTTCGTCTTGAGGAGTGTGCAGAAATCTCTAAGTTCGACCTTTTTCGGCATGGCTTGCTCGTGATTCATTAAAATCAGGAGAGTTTATCTTCTTTGGAGCATGAAAAGTGTTTCTTGGGAATCAACGTCAAAGATCGTGGGACGTTCAGTTTTAAAAATTCCACTATGAATAAGTTATAAATGCCTCTGCAATGAAGCAGGATTTTGTCTCATCCAGGTTCATCCTGGATTTTCTGTACCACGGAGGAGGTTCACACTTCTTATCAGGGTATATCAGCTTGGTAACTTAAACTGCGAACATAATTAGAGATCAACAGATATGAAATCACCGCCTGCTGATTAATTCCTTGGAAAACAGCATCACCATTCCTGGAAAAACCCTCGGACCACTGTGTGCAGACAGTAATATCTAATTTCTTTCCATTTCCCTGATGATCAGCAAGAAATACAAATTCTCGGAGACAATTTTATTGTTTCATTATTTTTCTGTTGGCTGTGAATAATTTTTATTGTTCTACGAGCAGAGCACTTCTTTGTATTTGCTGACCTTACATCCAGTGTGCATGCAAAACCAACTTAAAAATTTATTTAATAAAATAATTAATCTTCGGTATCTCTACACATATTTACACAGTTGGCGCACTCTCTTTCCAAGCTTCAAATAAGTTCAATTTCATTAACATAGTAGCTCTTTTATTCAGAGCTGTATATATTAAATTAATGTAGAGTGATTGGTTATCTCACATCGCTGACTCATCTGGAGCAGCTGTGTTACTTTTATTCTGTATTATGGCTTTACTTGCTGATACACTTAACAGTGTGATTTGTTCAGATGCTGGCAACGCCAACCATTTTTACGTAAACGTTCATACGCAGATCAGGAAACCCTGGGATAACTAAAAAAAGTTCATAACCAGCTTTGTGTAACCACTCATCGTGATCGCCAGTGTTGGGGTAAGTGAATCCCTTCATACTGCAGGTTTAGGAGAGTGTATAATGTCTTTGGATATCTATTTATTTTGATCAGATGGTGGTGCTACAGAATGTTCAGTGGATAATAAAAACCACTGTGATTTTCTGCCTTAACTTTATACCTCATGAAAAGCCTACTAGCAGTAAGGTGGATACTTGACTGAGTAAAGTGCACTCAAGCAGTCAAGCTCTGCACCCTAAATTTTCAGCACAATCACTGTTGATTCTCTAAAACAAAATCAAAAAAATAAATAAATCAACCCTTCTCTATCCATATTTTGTCTAAACAGTTGTAAATGTTCACCTGAAGTGACGAAGTAACAAACAAATGATCACCTGACTCTGCCGTTTGTCTTTATTGCACTTTAAAGATCAGTGTTTCGGTTTTACAACATCTACTGTTCACGTCATTCTCACAGATTTGAATTCGGTTTTTTAGGACAATGTTACACCTTGGCTGTGATTTTATGCAGGTTTAAAGGAGAATAAAAAACAAAAACAACAACAACAACAACAAGAATACACTTACCCTCTGCTCCTCCCATCCCATCTTTAGGATGCAGGCTGAGCTCCAGAGCAGCTTCTGCTCCTCTCAGGTCTTTTTCCATCTCCTCTGGACTCCTCCTCTTCACAACCAGAGAGCTGCTGTCCAGGACAGGAGACAGAGACTTCCTGGCTGCACACAGAACACAGACACACAAATGTAATAATAATAATAATAATAATAATAATAATGATGATAAAAACCATATTGATTGTGCCAGCAGAAGTCCCGTGAGCCTTGTTATCTGGAGTTTAATCTAAAGATAGTGAGGCAGGCCTTCCTGGCTTAGTGTAATAGGGGAATATGGAAAGTAAACTAATCCATCTCTTCCTAAGACTGTGCCAAAACAAAAACAGCATAATCTGTCCTGACAGAATAGAATCTCAAAAAGTCCAAAATTTCTCTGGGCGCATTTTTCCAATGAAAAATTAGCCTGAATATCATCCACTGATGTTTCCCAGAGCTAGCAGGCAATATTACAAGTTTTATGCAATGATTAGGGTTTAAAAGAATTTATTTCCCTTATAAGCTATAAATAAAGCTACAAATGATGTAAGGTTAGTTGGATCCAAAGAAGCAGCAAATATTGACTTTCAATGTTGTAATTAAATGGTAAATGGCCTGTATTTGTATAGCGCTTTACTAGTCCCTAAGGACCCCAAAGCGCTTTACACTACATTCAGTCATCCACCCAGTCACACACACATTCACACACTGGTGATGGCAAGCTACATTGTAGCCACAGCTGCCCTGGGGCACACTGACAGAGGCGAGGCTGCCGGATACTAGCGCCACCGAGCCGTCTGACCAATTCCCAAAAGACACAGAAAAAAAAGAAACTGAGGCTATGCCAACCTGTCAACTTGCTTCAGTCTCGGCAAGAGCATGTTAACCTGTTAGGTTTTAGCTTAGTGGATTCTGAGAGTATACGTATATCTGAGAATATAATGTAAACATCCTGTTCAAAAACAGTAAAATTTAGACCATGTAACATGTAACATATTGGAATCATATAAACACTTGGCAATAAATGAGTAATAAAAAATACTGGTGGCTCCCAGTGCTGTCCCTTAGCCTTGTAGTAGATACACTTGTGGTAAAATCCTATGTTGCCTTTTTCTAATGTCATTGCATTCAGAATATTTTCAGAAAACTTGACCTCTGACCTTGAGGTTAAAGTCGCCAGGCTTTGAAGTTGTCTGAGATTTTTAGTAGATGTACCTGTGGTATCAATATTTGAAAATATTAGGCGACTTCCTTCTTGAGTTATCACGTTCACAAACTCGGGTGTCCACACCGCCCACCCAGCCCACAGCAATAGCTCATCAGACTTTTGCAGCTGATGGGTAAAAACGATATGTGTCAATTTAATATTTTGCAGTATTTTATGTTTCTGACCAAGTCCGCTTAAAAATGCTGGCCATCTGTAGTGCATTAATCTGCACTCTGCAGGCGAGTGCGATTTTTGCGACACTCGAGTATAACTTGGAAAATATTAGCTTATAACCAACTGCTGTTGTTGCTTAGCCAATTCATACTACTTCGCATGTGGCCGCTTTCTAAAAAGATACATAAAACCTGATTAGGTAGAACGGCAATGTCCAACTTGTCACTGTTTTCAAGATTGCAGGGCAACATGGTGGATTTTTACAGTGATGAACAGCTATACCTATTCAATAGATTTACTGTTCAAAAGCTAAAGAAAAAAATATCTGTAGGTCATCATGTACATTTTCTGTGATCTCCCAGCACAGATACGATGCTCTCTCTCTGTTATGTTCATTTGCTTTTGCAAAGCAGCCCCCCAAAATTTTTTTTTAAACAAAAGTATTTGGGACAGCCCTACATATGAGTACGCTTGACAACTGACAGTGTGGCAACCCACACAGATTGTCCTCTCTATTCCGGTTTGCACATTTGCTGTGTACTTTGTCCACCAGAATAACATGCCATGCAAAAAGAAGCAGCATAGTTTTCACACAGCTCTTCATTTCTACAATGTTTTTTTCTAAAGAATTCAATAAATTCATTTCCTCAGGCAGAGATTGAGATAATCAAACGGACCAACTGTAGCGTGGGTAACCAGATAACTCAGATTCCCTGTTTGGTTGAAACTGTCACTGTTTACACATTAACACTGAACAGCTTGCAACAGCAGTCCTCACCGGGGCGGCAGGGTCTGGCTCGAGTCGCAGCTGCTCTCCCCACCAGGTCAAGCTCGCTGGGTTTATGACAAGCTGCCATCTCTGAATCGCCGTGATGAGACGGGAGCTCTTCAGCGCCGAAGGCCCCAGATGGGCCAGGCCTGGGCTCCGCTGACCCCCGCACCTCCAGCACTTGACTCTTGACATCGGCCATCTTGCTGCGGACCTCAGCCATCTGAGCCTTGAGGCGGATGAGGACCCCCGAGTCCGGAGCTGATCGTCGCACCACCTGCGGACGCCGCTCTCGTTCCTTCCTCGAGTGAGGATGAGCTGAAGACACAAGAAACAAGTTAGAGAAGCAGATAAGGTGAAGCTCCAAATATACAGCTTAAAACTATGTTTGGGGCTATGGTCGCAAGCTGCATGGTGGTTCGGGGACCAATCAGAAGCTTCCCTGTTGGTACTGAGAAAAAGCTAAACATCAAATGTACCTAAAGTCTTTTCACAAACTGCATGGCAGTTATGCTAAGTTCGATTTAAATTCTCCAGATACTCAGGAAAACACTTCAATACTTCCTTTATTACCTCCTTTAGCAGAGGATAGCGTCCTATAACTCACAACAAGTGGTGCAGATCACATAAATGTTAATTAACAGTCTGTTTCCTATTTCACGTAATAAACTGCTGAACTAAAGGTCTCAATGTGGCAAACATCTTATTTTACTTTATATTGTTTTTTTAATGACCTGTAAAAGTACGTAAGATGAGATTTTTGTAATCCTTCAGATCACTGTCGTTTCAGACTTAATAACATCAGCTGTTACAAGGTGAGAGAGTAGTTTGTTGCCCTAAAAACTGTTTTTCTCTTTCCACCTTTCTTCAACGCTTTTAATCGATCAGGTCAAGAGAAAGTGTTTACAAAAGGATGCTGGTGGTAATGGTTTTGACCAATTTTTAAAGAAAAAAAAAAATCCACAACAAATTAGCTCCAATGTTTCTCCTAGCAGAGGTGCTGGGACAATATTAGTCCCAAGAAAACTGATTTTGGTCTTTTTCTTTGTTCTTTTCACAAAATTCTTGGCGTTCGCTGCACCCTTCTTCCTGATTCCTGTAAGTTTAATTTTCCCACCCTGAAAATGAAAAGTTTGGTCTAATGTATTTCTTCTCCATAGAAAGCAGCAAAACCGATTCATATCGAAAGCAAGTTCAAATCCATCAAAAGAGAAAAAGGATGAGACTGAAAAGAATCAGCATGAGGCTCTCTGGTAATCTTGTGCAAACACAGCGTTTATCCCCAAAGCCTACAGAACATCCTACATGTGTTTTCTATACTTAAATATGTTGAAACCAGTGCTGTTTACATGCTAACCTGTGACCTTACAAAGTGTTTTTTATTTTGAGGAACCCCTGTGTAAGAGTTTGAGTAATGACTCCCAGTTTAGTGGGACTGATATTTTGTTAGCGTGCCTACAGACCTTGGCTGTGGAGGAGAGACACCGGAGGCCGAGGCTGAAGACCCCACAGGGATTCCACGCTGCTGCGCTCCTTCAGATCCAGCAGCTGGATCAGGATGACCGGGTCGATCTCCAGGAGGCTGTTACCACCTGGCCCAACAGCACCGGTGGCGGCAGCAGCAGCAGCGGAAGCTCCACTGCCACTAGTACTACGACCGGCAGCAGCTGCAGCACTACGGTGTAATGATCGCACACTGGAGTTGGAACCGCCTGCAGATCAGACACAAAAACAGGGTTTATATGGTTCATGTGTGGCTGTGCTTAAATTAAAAGAGGAATAAGGGGTTATTTAAGTGATTATTGCTCCATTTCTCCTTCCAAATATTCATGTTTATGTGTTATTTGAGCTGTTTCTTTATGTTGGACATCTGGTGCTCTTCATTGTTACTATAGGTAACTAAAACTAAACTAAAAGCCATTGTGAAAAACCTTTCAGTTAACTGAAATAAAAACTTGATTCAAAAGTAAACGTCTATAGGATATATTGTGTCCTTAATTTTTTAATATGGTTAAATTTGCCAACAAAAAGCCTGAGGAGGTTTTAGCTGTCTGAACTTCTTAAATTTTTTAAAATACTTTTTTTCCCCCTTTTTTATTTTTTTAATCTTTAGACCTACTGAATCTGGGATTCAAGTTTAAGTGAAGCTCAACAGAAACACTGATCTGGTTTCAAGCAGCAGTGAGACATGTTATTATCTGTACAGCCCACATGAGTTTCTGACTGGCCGGTTTCCAGCTGCTGGGAGAGAAAATTCTCTAAAGGTTTTCCAGACAAAGAAACCTGCATCAAAAACAAGAGTTACAAAACAGGCTGGAGTCTCTCGCTGAATTGTAACCTAATCATAAAAAAATAAAAATTACTCCAATGTGGGATGTAAACAATATGCAGCAAAGATATGTTCAACTCTGACATCTAACACCCCCTCCCCACACATGTACACACACGGACACCAAGTGCTTCTATATCGGCAGGCTGCGAGGGGCATGGTGCACCAACACTGACTCATCCTCTTCATGCCTTTCAACACCAACACAGTCAAACACGCCTGAAGGAGCCGCTTTGAGGTCCACCATCATATTGCTGTGATCTGCCTCTACAGTTGTCAAACAACACAAATAGATTCCTAAAATTCTCAAACAGAGGCTGGCTTTTATTTGCCTCAACTGAGGAGACAACAGGGCCTTTATTTGAGAAAGGACAATAAATATTTGATGGTTACACTCCGTAAATGGAGGGAATTGTTCAGTAAACCCACTGGGCTTTTGTAGCAACTTTTAGATGAACATTTTTGTCATGAAAATAATCAGATTTAACGGTTTAACTGCCCTTTAGAAATCTTTTTTTTTCCTTTTTTAAAATCATGCTTTCATGTAATATGAATTAAGACTGGCTAAATTGCACTTGTATTTTGATTTAAGAGCTTCCATTTGATATTTCTAAGTAAGAAATAGAGGTTTATAATCAACTTTAATGTGTGAAAATGTCCTTATTTAGAACATCTGCTGTAAATGTACAACATTACACCTTGAGTAATGTGCATATTTAATATTACTTTAAATTGTGTTCTGCTTTATAGTCGTTCATTATTGATTTCTCCTCCTGCTGATTTATACTTAAGAACAAATTAATGAAAGCTTATATTAGGACACAATTTGCAGGGGTAAAAAAATAAACAGTTCTTTGTTGTTCACCAGCATAAATCATGTGTTCACAAATCATGGTTCTAAGTTTGTTTCTGTTTGCATAGGTTAAATAATCCTTCAAGAACAGAACGATAAAGCTGACATCTGACATTTTTAACACTGCTGTGTGTTAAAAAAACAAAACAAAAACATGTCAGCTGTGGGAAACTCAAATCAAACAGTTTTATGAATGTTTTAAATTATACCCGTGGCTCCAGCCAAGTCATCAGGAAGCTCTCCTTCTTCTGTGTCCAGGTTGCCGATGAAGTCGACATCATTCTCCCCGGACCTGTGAAAATACTTCTGTTAGTATCCATTTCTTCGGCTTACCAAAGAAACCAAAGCCTTCATTATCAAATTACCACCAAGCACATTTTTTGTAGAAAGTTTCACAATAAAGCCATTTGTGCTCACATTGTCTCCTCGTCTATGTCATTCTCCTCAGTGTTGCTGGTGGCTGTGGAGCTCCCTGAAGTGCTGCTGCCATCCAGAGGGTTCACCTCCTCTTCTGTCAGACAGTCCACCTCCAGGTCACCGTCTGACAGCTCCTGGACAACAGAGGAGCCAGGCAATTAATGAGCTGTATCCCGTACAGGAAGACGCTGGATCCCAAAACCTCCAGCTCTTATTCATTTGATTTTTAATTAAAATTCAATGAAATGCCCCATAAAAAGAAAATTTTAACACCAATAAATTAATAGCTTAATAAATAAAATACCTAAATAATACTAAATAATTAGTAGTTTTTGACATAGTCATAACACCTCCAGTGAAAACATGATGCCCATCACCTAAGAAAACCTGTATAAGCTCAGCTACGCACAGACACCCTCTCGAATAAGAAAACATTAAGAAGCAATCAGCTGTTTTTTCAAAGTCAAGCAGTATTTTCCATCCTCACATTAGAGTCATCGTGTTGCGTCCTCTCTTCTTCTTCTCCTTTCTTAGTGTTGCTCAAAGTGGTCTGAATCTCATCGTCACTCTTCACCGAGCGAGGGTCTCTTTCAGAGGTCGTGGTGCCCGCAGCAAGCCTCAGGTCAGGAGGCGAGGAGCTGCGTGAGGTCTGACGGCGAAATAGCTCGATAGCGAGCCTCTGGAATCAGAAATACAGAGATTCGGGGAATATTATTTAGCTCAAAATAAACAGACACTTAATTATGGAAGCAACTCCAACTAGATGAGTCAGAGTGACTCAGAGACTTTGGCATCTTTGAAAACTTTGGAATCTGTTTGCTCTAAAACAATGGCTGACGAGAGTCAGTGAATCCTAAATTCAACAAACAGTAAAAAAACAAAACATGCCTATAAATACAGAACACAAACACAGACAGACAGAGTACCTCTTTGAGATTGTTGATCTGCTGGATGTAGCCACTCTGGGCCGACTCCAGCTGGCTGATGTACCAGTACTGATCTCGGCACTTCTGGAAAAAGGTAGGTGAGCGAACCTGATAGCTGAGCAAAGAAAACCAATGATACTCAGTCACACTGGGATAAAAGATCTCCAACTCAACCTGATTCTACATGATTAGAATTGTGCGTGCGTGTTCTCACCGGAGGACCAGTGTGTCTGTCTGCATGTTCAGGTATCCCTCACTGGCTAGAAGATCAAGCCTGAAGAAGCGGTTGTAGCCCCAGCATTCACCGACCTCAAAGTCAGAGGCAAACTCCCGAATTATGTTCTTTGTGGGGTCACTGGAGGCCTGATGGACCATCTCCACACGGTACTCATATCTACGCATATCAAAGAGCATATCAACAGACAGGAAATGCAGCAAAAGCAGAACTCATCCGGGAGTTTTGAGGATGTATTTCTTTAAAGAACTAAAAGACAGTGAACGGATATTTAACACACCAAATTAGAAGTGATTAGTTTTTCAAGCCACAAGTATTATTGAGTCCAAGTAGGATCACCTGATTTTGGTATTAATCGGCTAAAAATGACACAATTTGATGCAGTTTTCTCGTTAAATATTCAACCAGGGGTTCCCCTGTTGCTCCCCTGGTTGAAGCGGTAACACGTCTTTAAAACATGAAAGAAAAAGTATTATCTCCTCACTAATGCCAAACTCATTTTTCAAATATCCTATATCATGTAATGTAATGGTTTTCATTATACTGTGCATCTATTAGGACCAGATTTTCATTTCATTTTAAAACAACCTTGACGGTTTTATGAAAAACACTGGCTGCATTATAACTGAACATTTTTAATCTATGTGACTTCCTGCATGTTAACTGTAAATTATTCAAATTGGACTTGAAAATAAATCTTTTACGCAAGTCAATTTAGCCCCAGGCTTGACTGTAAAAAAAAAATAAATAAAAAATTGTCACAGAAAGAAAACAGAGCAGAGGAGGAATTTATTGAAAGAGCAGTCAATGTACAACAAAATATTACATACTTTGATGTTTCGGGAAGTCCTGCAGACAGTTCGAGGAACACAGACAGATAGTTTCCACGAACCACACCGTTACCGTCCTGCAGAAACACAGAGACATGTGCTGCTTTAGCAAAGACAACGTGATTTCTGTCTAAATTACTACAGTCACAATAACCAATCGATGTCAGCTAGAACTGCAGCCAGGTTTTAAAAGGCATACATCAGCCGTTTTAAACTCACTGGGTAGACTTTGAGTCTCCAGCAGAGGCCAGAGATCTGCAGGGGAGGGCTGTAGACCGGGTCAGCCCGCTGCCTCAGGGTGCTACAAACAAACACATATATCAAACGAGCTGAAACCCTATCAGGATGTTTTGATAGATTTCCCATTTGAAGCTTTTAACTGGTTATTTTTTACTCTGACTCATTTTATTTTGCATTTATATTTGAGTTTAACTTGTAACATTGTAATAGTGTGTAAAGAGATTTTAATCTCAAGGAACTTAGTTAAATAAAGGCTAAATAAATTTTTAAAAAAGTACCTTACATTTTTCCATAGTTTATAAAATCCTCAACAAAATTTAAGGATGGTGTTTGAAGATAGGAAGAAGCTGACAGTATGTCAGAGTGAGAGTTCCTTGTTTGTCTTCTCTATGACCAAATGCAGCCTCAGAGATGATTTACCTGAAGTTGACTAGAACAAAAGTGCTGGAGTCATAGGCAGGAACCAGCTCACTGAAAGCACAAAGAGGAAAGATGACTGCACATAAAAGCACAATAATTAACCTGTAGTTTACAGTCACTGTCAGGTTATTTCCTTTAGTATTATGAGCCATAAAATTTAATTGATTGATTAAAAAAAACAAAAAAAACAAAACAAATGGGAATCTCCTGCCACATAACATTTATTATTGATGATAATTTTTGTTATCCCTAGTAGCTAAGGCATTTCGTTGCATCCTCCCTGGACCGTGAAAAGCGTCTGGTGTTGCAGCTAAGGATATTACCTGGTGAAGTCTGGAGGGACGGGCGTGGTGACGAAGGACTGCATGGGTTTCCGGTGGACCTGCTGGAACATGAGGAGGATCTCTGGGCTCTTTGAGATCAGTTCGCTCTTACTGCAGGAGTGAAGCTGTTCAGCATACACACAATTCAGGAAAATCATCTCGTTACTGCCAGCAAGCAGCTGAACAATCGATGATGTGTTGATTTTTGCTCAGAAAAAATAAACAGTTAACTGAAATTCAACAAAATGTTTTACTTAATTCAGTAACAAAAGAAGCAAAGTCAGAATATAAAAGTTCATTTCTTAAAACAAAAAACAGTCTCCCACCTGACCCCCTCAAAATCTGATTCTTTTGTAAAAAAAAAAAAAAATTGTAATTGTAATTTAGTAAAATGTTACATTTATGCTATGAATATCTATGAAAAATAATAAAGTGCAACTTTTTTGGAGTCATTTTACAAAATAACTTCGAGATGGTAAATGAGATGACCCATCCCTCAACGCTGCCAGTATTTCTGTATTTAATGTGCTGTAATATTTTCTGGCTGCTACTCTTAGTGCAGAAAAGCTCATGATTCATCACATCACATTGTAAGAAACAATCGTGCAAATGCAACATGCCTGCTCGCCCGATTTGTCGTGCAACATGCTCTGCTACTCAATAATGAATAAAAGAAGTTCCCACAGTGTAAAATAAAGCACTTACAGTGAATTCTCACCAGCTCTGCAGCCATTACATCATACTTTTGGTTTTATAACTTGCAGATGTATTGTTTGGATAGACCTCAAATTAGTCGCTTCCTTTTTAAAAACAGTTAACAGCACAGTTGAAACTTTTAAAATATTGCACCAGACACTTGCTATAAGAGAGGATTTAAAATATACCTTGACCTTAAAGACTGGAATAGTGTTGAATCAATGAGACAGCATGTATTGCTGTATTGTGTGTGGGGTTTCTCAGCTTTAATATTACACAACTAACAATATGCAGTAGGAAAAAAATGAATGGAGGCTTTGATCTGCTGCAGACGACCAACCTGATGCTCCACCTCCTGCAGCAAAGACTCCAGCAGCTCCGTCTCCTGGGTCAAGGACGTCTTCTGGCCTGATGGGGAGGAACGCAGTTCTATTTTCAGTACTCTTGTGCTGAATGTCAGCCCTGATGGAAGCTGCTGAGTGAGAGTGTGTGGGAGTGCAGGTTGTGTATGTGGGCGCCGAGTGCACGGATCCACTCAGTCCAGATAAATATTTCATATGTATATTACCCGCAGCTATAAAGGGCGCCTCTCACTGCTTTCAGTGGGGAGTCTGCGTGTTTTGTTGGGTGAAGGTCTCGACCTTTAGACACATTTAAAGCCAGTCTTGCAACAACAAGAAAACTAAACACTGCCATATGTCTTTAACCTGTTAAAATGATGCTTATTCTATTGGGAATGCATAACCAGGTGGCGACAGAACTGGGATTAATTTATTTAACTGCTGAATAATAATTAATGACTACAGTTAGTAAGGGTGACCCTAACATACCATTCTCTTCAGATAACTCTAAATATGTTTTTTCAGCAGTTTCATCTCTTATTTTTTGCAAAATACTGCTGAATGCTCCTTAATTCATGTTTAATGATATTTTAATGGTAAAAAGATTTTATGTCACCCCGTCAGCAAAACATTCATTTTTAAAAAATACTCCTGGCTCTGTATGATAGCCAAAATCTGGTCATCTCAGACATGCAGTTCTGTCTGTGAGTGCCCAAGCCCCACCCGCCTGCTTTTCAGCCAATCGGAAGACAATTGTTTGACCTTGTTCTAAACAGAGTTTGAACCATCTAATGGGCTGCAGGACATTTTTTTGAACAGTTAATCGTGCAAAGCTACTCTGGTGAAGTCAAAAATATGCAGATGAAAATGAGAATAATGTGTCCTCTCCTGCAGCCTAAAAGCCAGTCATTCAATTCAGCTTACCAGAGTTCTTTCAGTATTTTTACATAAAAGTAGGCAAGGTGTTCAGACATGGAAATAATGAGCTTGAAAGTGGTCAAATATGTTTTTAAAATAAGATTTGAGGTCAGCTCTTTTTCAGATAAAAGCAATGCACTGAAATGATGTGTAATTAATTAAATTGAAGGTTAAAATGTATATAAAAAGCTAAAAAAAGAAAAAAAAACATTTATCTGGACATCTGCTTTTGACAGTGAGTGTGTGCACAGTGTGAGTCCTACCCATGAGAGTGATGAGCTTATTCTTGAGCTGGTTATCCAGACGAGCGATCATCATTTCCACGGCGTTACGTATCTCTCGGACCCTCTCGTCTTTTGCACCCCTAACTGCCTCAACGTTCCTCTCCTGAACCATCAAACAAAACACACAAACACACTGTGTTAAATATCCGTTCACCGTGTCAACTTCACTGACAAGCTTTTATTAAAACAACAGTGCCATCTGCTGGATGTCAGCAATACAGCACGCCCATACTGTAGGCTGCGGATTTGATATCATTTTGAAGTCTAATCCTGTGTGTTGATTAGGACTGTTGTTCAATTCAATTCAATTTTATCTATATAGCGCCAAATCACAACAAAAGTTGCCTCAAGGCGCTTTATAATGTACAGTAGATACTTTATTGTTGTGGTCGCTATATCACAATGTCACATCTATCGTTGGATGTGAAGCATAGGAAATTGGGGGTAACAAAATAATTCAACTTATATGATTTATCAAGATGATATTTCACTTTCGAATGGAAGTATAATCACAATATACCTAGAGCTAAAATTTGACCACTATGAAAATCTGGGATATGGAATTCAGATTAATGCAGTCCAAAGTTTTTGGTCTAACAGACAAACATGAAGGTATCCCGAGGCTATAGAAGCATCCTAAAAACTCTCAGGATACATCATTCAGTAGACACACAAAACAACAAAGTCAGGCACAATCACAGAAAGCATTTAGCCTTTTAAACAGGAGAGTGAGCTCATCCTCTCGCAGGACGTATTATATTCAAACAAAAAGCAAAAGCAGACTCCACAGACACTGAAACTGAACACAAGCTATGACGCAAACAGACTGAGTGTTTTTGCCTTGTAACTGACTTGCACTTATTTCAGCATTTATGGGCATTTTAATTTATTGTGTTATATTTTATTATTATCTATTCTTTGTTTCACCTTTCGTCTCACTCTGTCCATCATGTCAGGTGACACGATACGTGTGAAGAAGCAGTTAGAGAGTGGATGCTTTCATAAGAGAGATAGAGAGACAGGCAGTCTTCATACAACTCATCTATGTGTATCTTTCAGGAGTATCATGATAACAGTTCCCTGAGTTCACTGCTGTTTGCTTTAATGTCACTGCTCAAATTGAGAAGGCCAGAGTGACCCTCAGGTGCTCCTGAATCCCACCACCGAACTACAATAATGTAGCAGTGTAGTCACACAAATAATGACCAAGAAACACTGCAAAGTGCTTTGTCGGGACATTTCATGCTGTACCCAGTTGACGTTAATAACCTGAAACTTTAAAGTGGGCCTCAGAGGTCCTAAGTTAAAACAATTTCCACAGGCTCTTTGACTTAAGCTTTCCTCTACAAGTGGGTCATTAATTGGGCTCTATGGATTATGGAGCTGATTTTATTTCTTTGTGCAAAACAAAAATGCTAGTTATTTTTTATATTAATGTCAGAAAATAAAAACATTTATGCATTTTCTGCATCAAAAAATGAATGTGTATAAATTCCTATGGCAGACAGTGTAACACATTGGCTTATCATAACAGTGGCATGTGAGATACAGCAATACATATAAAACCTATTCCTTCAGCAGAGAATCTAAACTCTACTTAAAGCAGCATAACTCATCGTGGTAATCTAGACCAGCGGTCCCCAACCTTTTTTGCGCCACAGACCGTTTTATGCCCGACAATATTTTCACGGACCGGCCTTTAAGGTGTCACGGATAAATACAACAAAATAAAACCAGTACCGGTACCGAAAAAAAGAAGATTTATTCACAACACACATGAAATGACCCAGGAAGACCGAGTTAACGATAAAAACGATAACAAAATAACGCTGAAACCCGATAAAAACCCTGAAAACCACACATTTCACACCTGAGCCTCAAGTCTCGCGGCCCAGCACCAAACGACTCACGGACCGGTACCGGTCCAAGGCCCGGGGGTTGGGGACCGCTGATCTAAGAAAGGACAGCTAAGAAAGGACACCTTTGTAATACTGAAAACTGAGTTTGCCTCAAGATAACTCGCCAACCCATTAATAATTCTTCATAGTTGAGGGAGAGAACATCCCTCAAGTCCCATGAATGTCAAGAAGAATTCAAATATGTACTAGGATATGAATCTGCAGTTAAAAAGATTTACTGAAGAGGTGAAGGTGAAAAGTGATGAGTGCACGAAACAGAAGGAGTTTGATCTGACAGGACAGTAAATATCAAACTATTGAGCATTTGTTGTTCATAAGAGAAAAAGCAGTCCTCACCACTTCCTGCACCAGACTGATGAGCTCCATGAGGCGGCGGCGCAGCTTGGCAACCTCCTCCTTCACCTTGGTCACATGCTGCTCATAAATCTCCACCAGGGGCTTAAAGGTGTGGCCGCCGTGCTGGAAGCAACCAAAACAGCAAAATTCACCGGACGCCATATGTAGCGGAAAACTCATTAATGAGAGCGTTTCTGACTTTGCCAACTATTATATAAGTGAAGCATTACCATGCCTCCCCACAGGGCACACTGGTGACAGATGCATTTCTTACAGGTCCAACAGAAAACACTCAGCTTCTCGTGATGGTTCTCACATCTGCAGAGCAACAAGACAACCACTGTTTGTTTCCCACAACTGTACCAAATTTGATTGTTATTCTCTGAGTTGAGCATCACAGAGCATGTATAAGTAACCCCAACCAAAAAAACCAAAACCCTGACAAATATAAAACAATGGTGACACAGAATGAACAAAACTTCTTAAAATAACTTTTCATAGTTCTGGCATTAAGATTTGATTTATGAAGAGAAATTTAAGGAAGACAGGGATATAAAAATGACAAGAACACTTTCAACTCAGAAAACAGGACTGGGACTGAAAGACACTTGTCAAGAACTCACTTGTCTTTATCGTTGTCCTCATGCTTGGTGAGGCTGCAAAGCTGCAGGGTGTCCAGCTGCTGGGTGACCTCCTCCGCCCAGCGACAGTTGACAAGCTCCCTCAGCTGAAGTGGAGCCCTGTACAAAAGAATGCACACACATATTTTAATAACTGCATAGCTATTCTAACATTATGAAGCAGATCAGAAAGTTATCTTGAGGCTTTTTGTCTGTTTCGCTACGTTTCATCAGTTTTATTGGTGTTCTCCTTGCCCATAGGATATACTAAAGACATAATATGCTTATGTCTTGCTGAATTAACTCACATCGAATTCATATGTATTCCACGCTGTTACATTGTGAGTTGTATAGCTCTTACACACTGTTTTTAGTCATTACTCTGGTCTTACCAGGTACCTTATGAGTTCAAACAAAATTCACATGGACCATGAAATATTCCACCAAATGTGATTAGTTATATGAAGTAGATGTGTGTTAGCAGGTGCTTACCGACAGTGTGGACACTGTGCTCTCTGCTCCGTCAGCCATCGCTGTTACACAGGAGAGATTTCAGCTTAAATACAAGCAGCACAAACAGTCTGCCAAAGATTCATGATTCAGGACAGAGCTGGAATCATTTTATATTTTTTTCTTATTTGTACATTCCTTATAAAGACCAAGAAAAACTAAACTACACAAACTGATCCTACTGAGTGTGAGGATAAGCAAAGACTGACTCATGTGAATCATCGGCATCACACTGCTGCACTGTTGACCAAATATTATTGAAAGGGAACAGTAACAACTGTGGTTACTGTTGGTGGTTATTAACTTGATAAGTCATCTCAGTATTTATCAATGTAGCTATAAAACATGAAAGAAGTAGCAGTGGCAGCACGTGACCGATCCCAAAACCAGTCACCATCAAATTTTACAAAGATAAAAATAACATGTATAAAAAACACGAAGATCTTACACACATAAAGGTGGGCTGAAAGATACACAGGTGTGCTGGACAGTGTGTAGTTTATTATTTTTTAAAAAGTGCTGTCTGAATGTTTGTGTGTTCTTTAAGGGTTTGGATAGTAAGACTGGAAAAGCTCTACATAAATCCCAACTGTGTGATTTAACAGACTTATCTGTCTCACCGCTTTATCATTAATGGCTCAATCACATTAGAGTAAAAATAGGACATCAACCTCATTTCAAGTTGGAAAAAAGAAAAAAGAAAAAAAAAACAGCCTAATGCCTGGTGACTTCCATTATTTTATTTATTTATTCCCCACATTCAGTGATTGATTTCAAGTAGTTGCATGAAAACAGTTGGTTGCCCAGAGGCTGAGCGTGAAACACCCTCAACCAGCAGGTGACCACTTTTAATCACAAGGTGGCTGCACAGTTTGGCTGCTTGGAGGCAACCTCTCAAATAATTGTGGTTTAAGTCTGATTCTATGATCACTCACGGACAGGTTGGCGAAGTTTTGCAAAATCTGCTGTCTATAAAAACGGACTAGCAACATGCTGCAAGCAATCTGAGTCAGTCTGCGCTAATAAGCATTTGCAACATGTGTTTCTGTAACAGGGGACTCGACAAAAATTGTTGGCAACTGGTTGCATTTGGTTTATATTCCTCTATAAAACCAAGGTTGTCAAGTACGTATGTTGTTTTGTGGCCCTTGTCTTTGAAACAACTATTAGAAAAGCAACAAGACTGTACGTTCATTGCACATAGTCGCAGTAATTTTGGTCACATCACAAAATTGATTAGATAAAAACTAAGATACTTGTAAAAACTGAATGCAGAGTTGTGGAGTGAGGAGAACATTTTCTGATCGCTGCTATGTCTAAACAGACTCACTCGTATACAGCTGAAGCAGCAGAGTTTGGAGCAATGTGGACAGAGGCGAGCATCCCTCAGTTTCTCCATGCAAATGAAGCATCGAAACACCTCAGCAATGCTCTGCACAGGGACAGAAGAACGTTTTAAACCGACTACAGCCACAGAACTCAACACCACAGATTATGAAGATTAAACCATGCACATTACATGAATTTGGTAAGTAATACACTATACAATACAATATATAATGTAATACATCATAGCAGTCTAACAGTGAAACTGACCTCAACACTTTGCTCATCCATTTCAGCCAGTTTGATGTTCTGGGCCTCACAGACAAGTCAAACAAGTATTCTAAAAAAGAAAAACAGTATAAGGATATATCAATAAACAAACTGTGCTTTAGTTGGACAGTTGAAAGTAGGCACCTGACATTTGAGATCAAGGTTTGCAGGATTTGAAACCTCACAAGCATTTCAGAAGGTTTACAGATGTGATGTAGAAACTTGATGGCTTTACTGCAAGCACAATGAGAATGGACCCCTAATTTTTGCTTTAATTACTTACATTTCTTAAATAAAACATCACTGTATAGAAATAGTTTTTTAATACAATTTAGTAATTTTAAGTATTACTAAAACAAATAATATTACTTTTTAAAATAAATACATCACTTAATTGTTAAGTTTAAATCTATACTCACAAGCCACTTCATTATTACCCCCATTCAACTGGTAGTTAACACAAATATCTAATCAGCCAAACACACAGCATCAACTCAGTACATTTAGGCATGTAGACATGGACAAGACGGCCTGATGAAGTTCAAACCGAGCATCAGAATGTGGAATAAAGGAGATTTAAGTGAACAAATGGGACCTATGACTGCATAACACGTTGAACCTTGAAGCAGAAGATCAGATGACCACACCGAGGACCACTATTGACAGCCAAGAACACGAAAATGAGGTTCACCAAAACTAAACAGGACAACAGAAGATTGTTGAATTTAGTGTAAAAAATTGGTGCTATAAAGATGTGGGGGACTTTTTTTTTTTGGCACACTTTGGATCCGTCATACTATGTGAACGTCTTTTAAACACCACACTTAGTATTGTTGCTGACTATGTTCTAAAAGGTGCTTCTAATGAGCTAATGTGCCATGTGAAAAAGGTCAAATCCCCTCAAACCCGTTTCTTGACCATGACAACAAGTACTCAAATGTCATTTACAGTAATCAGTCCAGTACAGTACCTTTGGGATGTGATGGAACAGGCGATTCACATCATACATGTGCAAATGAAACACCTGCAGCTGTGTGATGCCATCACGTCACTATGGACAAAATCAAAGGAACGTTTCCAGCTATTTATGCCACAAAGAATTAATGCACTGCTGAGGGCACAAGGGGGTCAAACCTGGTACTAGGAAGGTGTAATGTAGCTGGTGAGTGCATATGGTCCGGCATGTCTGGAGCCTTTTTTGCAACTTTAAAAAGCAATTTACTCAAATGCTTAATAAAGAGAAAGTAGCATAAGTTGTATTTATTTATTTTTATTATCATTTAATTATTTCTTGTGAAAGCAAAAATGGCACATCTTTTACTTTGACATATCGTATATTAAATGGGGTTTGGAAGGTCTGGCCACATAAAAATCCAGGAATGTGCAGTAGTAAACAGCAGTTTTTTTCAGGTATTTTTAAAATTTTTTTATATTTTTTATTTAATATCCGAGTAAATGGGGAAAACGGTCAAAATTGCCACCCCTGCAGCTCTAATCGATACTCAATAGTTGCACGTGGTGAAGATGAATGTAAACCTCACTAACATCAGTGCAACTGTGTCTGTAGAGCACAACACAAACAGTGGGCTCGCCTACATTAGCAAAAACATGACAGTTGTTGTGAACGGCAGCCTGCAATCTGTGCCAGAGGCCCAGCATCAGCAGACACAAAACCAGTCCGACAGCAGCAATGGTAGCAGCTATAGATGGAAGGAAGATATACCCTGACAGTAGCATATAGCAGGATAGCCTGAATACAAAAACATATTTAAGTGCGTGTATGTATATTTATATATCTAGAAAGAGAGAGAGAGCTTTCATAGCTAGCTTGCTCGCATTAGCAGGGTCGTTCACTCACCTAGACGGAGACTCGGCTCTGTCCACCCCGCCAGATAAACAAACCACGGCTAACGGCTACATTATAATATATTACAACACCTCCGTCGCGTAAAGCACCGCAAAAAAATAAAAAAAGACTAAAGTGCTACTCAGATTTAGCTGCGACAAAATAGACCTCACACTGTGCCGCACCAAGGATGGTATACAGCTGCCTTTCTACCTAAGCTGAAGATGTAACAGTGGTTGGTGAGAGGCTGTTTGTCCCCTAGCAATAACCAATCGAATGGCTTTTTTTCTTCTTCTATTAATTGTATGTGTTTGCAAGTGACAGAAAGTCTGTGGGGCTTTGCCGCCCCCAAGTGGAAAGTT